TACTCACTACTATATAAACAAATCGATAGTCTCCTACTTTTTCACCAAACCAAAAATCTCTTAAAAAAATACCATTGCTTACACCATTGCTTCAACATCATTCTGTTTTGTCAATAGGTATGATGCTACGTGGCTACGTTATATTAATCAGTTTACAAAATCTAAGTATGCGTTATATTCCAAGTCTTTGCCAATACGTATCATGCATATGTTATATTTATATATTTACTAACCAAGTCGTTGTCAATACATTAACTTTACATAACTAAAATTATGTTTTCACGTTTTACATATATATTGTTTTTGGTTATTACTTAAATTTATTATTAATTTGTAAGATATATCTTATTATATAAAGTATGGTTTTCAAAGTTAGTAACTCATAGGATTGTGACACATGCCAAATCTATCGATTTTAGATTTTGACATGTGTAAAACAAAAATTTACTTTAAAAAAAAAGAGATAATTATAAGTAATTATAAATAAAATTTAAAATATAATTATAAGGATAACTGTAAGGAAGCCCCCTTGGCCCATTGATTTACCAAGGGTTAATTAATGCATTTACACTAAGAGGTCTGAGATTCGAGTCTCAGGTACTGCGATTTATCAATAAATTTGCATATTAATGGAGGCAAATGTGCAGGAGATCTCCAGCGATGTACAATTATAGCCGTTCGCCATGATTCTACGCAGAGAGAGAAGTGTCATCAGGTCGTGGATCATTCAAGGTGTTCGTCAAGAGCATGAAGAAAGAAGTATCGTCCGTCGTGGATCTAATAAGGGTCGGAAGGAATTGTCCGTTGTAGAATCGTCTATGTAACATTTCTCATAATTTGCAATAAATAATAAATCTAGACGTTAAAAAAAAAGACAACTGTAAATAATTAATATTTCTATAAACAATTTTAAAATGTCAAAAGATAATAATAAGGAAATTATACGTTTTTTATAACTAAAAATATATATTTAAATTAAACAAGAAAAAGATCAGGTAAATTTATTATAAAGAAAACATATGTTATTATATAACTAATATGATATGTTTTTGTTTCTTAAAGTTAGTAATTAATAGTATCATGAACCGTTATCATTCAAAGATTTTATCATGTGTCATGATTTAATTTAAAATTTGATATTATTTATCTCAATTTCCTTTCCAATTAGAAATACATGATGATTTCATTAAACTAATCCCCATATTATTTTAACGGAATACATGACTACACATGCCAAGTTAGAAATGTACAACCAACTACACGAACTAACTGTATTGCATGCCCACATATTCCAACTATATGACGATATGTAGTCAACATCACGAACATCTTATTCCGGTACACCAATCGTTGAAATCCGGCGTTGACCATCGTTGACCGGCATTGACCAACAAAAATATGCAAAAAAATTATTTTTATTTATTTTAATATTAAAAACAAAACTAATACATATTAAATTAAAAATAAAGATATTTTGTATATATATTTAATATATTGATTATTATAATTAGTTAGTTTTTTCAATTTAAAAAATAAAATAAAAGTGAAATAAAAATAATTAAGCGAATTACTTATTTGTACATTGTCAATAAAAAACATTAACTTCTTATTTTACAAATGCTTTTGCTAAAATCAACATCGTTAGATTTTCTATTTTCTATATATTAAAAAGAAACATTGCGAATTTTTTTGTTGTTTACGCGTTATTACGAGAATTTGTTTTAATAATTTTAATTACAAAAATTTAACAATATATTAAATTTAGACTAAAGAATATACGAGAATTTGTTTTAATAATTATTCTATACAACACCATAACCGATTCTATAGAATAATTCTTTTTAAAAACATTTAAAATAAATAAAAATATATATTTTTGAATATTTTTGTTGGTCAATACCGGTCAACGATGATCAATGCCGAATTTTGATGATTAGTGTACCGGAATAAAATGTTCGTGATGTTGGCTACATGTCGTCATATAGTTGGTATATGTGGGCATGCAATACATTTAGTTCGTGTAGTTGGTTGTACATTTTTAAACTTGGCATGTATAGCCATGTATTCTGTTATACTTCGTGTAGCTGACTATCTTTTTTCCTATTATTTATTTGAGTTTATTTTCACAATTAGAAATATGAGAGATCAATTTTTTTTTCCTTTTTTGTAATATTTTTTTACTTAACTGTGTTTTTTGTTTGTCCTCAATTATGATTGTAGTATTGTTAGATTGTTGATTTTAATTTCTCTTTTCATATTTAAATTATCAAAGATTCATATATCATCGTGTTTATAATTTTTTAGTTTTAGTTTAAATATTGTATCTTTAAATTATTTATTTTGGTTTCTGTGGAAGTCGAAACTAACACAATCGAGATTTGTCTAGGGTTTTATTTTAGGGATACGATAAACGTGAATTCTCAAAGAACAGCAGAAACGATTGTAACCAAAGACGGTTTTCTTGATATTATTAAGAAAAAGATGACTTTGATCGTACAAGAGTTTGATCGTAAAGGAAAAAGATGTTTTTGCTGTGAGAACTTTGCGTAGTGTAATTTCTAGAGCGATATTGCCTCCCCTTTGCTTGAGCCTTGAGTCTCTTTATATATAGGTGATAAACCGCCTCTCCAGCGATATTCTCGGAAGATTTCCATTTATCTTGAAGTCGGCTCAGAATATCGCGGATTAGGATAGCTTCCTTATTTTTCGGGGGTTTCATGATTTGAGTTGATCTTTCGAGATTCTCCCCTATCATTTCCGGGTCTATCGGAAATGATCCTTCGGAAATGACACCTTACTTGGAAATGATACTTTGAAGGTGAATATTTACCAAGTCTTTGCCTCGGGTGATGATGAAGACTTCGCCTCTGAGAACTTGTGCAACCGGCTCGGGTACACAGGAAGGACTGGCTCGGGCACTCTTAGGATGGCTTGTTTGAGTACCCCGAGGCGACGGGCTCGGGCGCTCCGAGGCGATTGGGCTCGGGCGTTCCGAGACGACTGGGCTCAAGTACTTCCGAGACGACTGGGCTCGGGTACCCCCGAGGCAATTGGGCTCGGGTGCTTGAGACGTCTTGTTCAGGTATCCCCGAGGCGATGGGCTCGGGTCTCCTAAATCGATTAGGTGGATAACCCGAGGTGGATGATGCGATATCCCGAGGTGATCTCTGTAAAACTCCCGAGGTGTTCTAAGTCTGGCTCGGCGCCAAAGGATGGAATCCGACCCCAACAGTTAGCCCCCCAGCTCGTTAGTTTGGGGAACCAAGCGTGACGAGCTCTATGACAATTAGGCCGAGCCGTTTACTTTGGACAGTTCGGTCGCTTTAAAGTTTTTGGCGATTCGAATTCCTGTCGTTTCATCTTCTCTTGGCGTGTGACGGTTGGGATTCCTTCTCGAGAATTGGAAAGGTCATTTCGCTGATTCCCGAGATTCATGCGGATGCGAAGTATCCTACTCAATTCGTGCGTACCCGACGCGCCTTAGACGCGGATACGATGTGTTTTATTTGGCTCGTTCGTACCCGACGCGCCCTAAATCTCTATAAATGTTAAGCCTCCGACTTATTTTTTTTTCATTTCGCAATTGCAAAGGAAAATTTTCAAGGTTCGTTCTCTTCTCTCTGATCTTGAGTTCTTGCATTTTCTACTTTTTCCGTTATACTTCCGTCGTAGCGCCACCGTCATTAGACCTAGGTTGATTTCTTCGATCTGTCAAGCTTTGTTCCTCCGATCAACTTCTTCAATCTCCCGAGCCAGAAAATGTCTCTCTCTGATTCCAGTGATTCGCCCCGAGGTGACACTCATCTCCCTGTCTACAAGAGAAAGATGGTCTGGAGTTCTTCGAGCGACCCCGAGGCGGATACCACGGACCATCAGATCGTGTTGTACCGTGGTAGTGATGCAGAGTCGGCTTCACGGGAAGAAGACCCGAGCCGTTTCATTGCTCGGGAAGACGCGATTGCAAATGTGGCTCGGGATCAGGATTTGCTAGACGATCCCGAGGCAATTTTGAATAGGAGGGGGATACATCCACCGGCAGTTGGTGAAGCTGGAGTCTCACGCTGGCAAAATGCCCCCGAGGCGTCTCTTCTTCCTATTAAGGCCGAGGAGGTTCATTATGACTCTGACGAGGCGGCCAGGTTGCTTCAAGCTAAAGTCCGAGCAGCCAAGGGTCAACAGAAGAGAAAACGAGCCAAGAAAGCTAGGAAACCCGATCCCCCGGGTTCCACCTTATGCACGGAGGACTCCCTTCGGGATCTCAAGGCCCGGTTCGGTTTTAGCGAGGGAATTGAACTAAGACTTCCAACTCCGAATGAGCGAGCAGACGATCCGCCCGAGGGTTTTTCACCCTTTATGAGGGGTTCTTCTACCATTGCTATCTTTGGCTTCCAATCCCGAGGCCGATTTTGGCGTTTCTGTGGTCGTACAAGATTGCTCTATCCCAGATAACGACCCGAGGCCTGCGGCATCTAGTGGGGATTCTAGTCCGAAGTATTGAGACGGTCAATATTGTCGGCCTTAGCCACTTGAAGAATCTCCTGGAGATCCGGCGCATACCAGGCCTCGTCGAGAGATTCTACATATCTCCGAGGCCAAATAGGAGGGTTATCGGTAGTTTCCCGAGCAAGGATGAGAAGTACACCGATAACTTCTTCTACGTAGCCTTGAATGAGTATAGTGTCCACGAGGACTACTTAGGGAAAATTGTTGGAAAGTGGAGACAAATCGGTACTACGCCCGAAGCCGTATTTGCTGTTTCGTTTTGCTTTAACCTTTTTTTTCTGATCGTTTTTCTTGTTCATGCAGATCGGAACCCGTTGTTTCTCGAAGACGTTCCCGAAGGTTTTCTAGATCTCCACGACGAACTAATTGCTCGGAAGTGCGATTGGACAAAACACTTCTCCCAGGAAAGAATTGAGAGAGCCTTGCGTTTGCTGCACGGAGCTCCCTGCCAGTCTTCTTCCGAATCGTCCGATCATCGCCTAGATCATCTTATCGAGATGCAGGGCGCTGCGCAGTCTCTGAGAGCCAGGAAAGCTGCTGAAAAGAAGGCGGCTAAGGAAAAAGCTGTTTTGGAGGCAAACTTCAGACCTCCTACTCCTCTCGAGGCCAACCCTGAGGTCGTTGTTGGTGCCGAGGCAACTGATGAAGCTCGGGATACGGTTTCGATCGTTCCCGAGGTGGCCGGGCATATGTCCCCTACGACCGATGTCCCCGAGGTGGTAGGGGCTCTGGTCATTGCTGCTCCAGCCGCCGAGGCGAAATCCAAAACTAAGGGAAAAAGACCCCGAGGTGATGGCTCGGGAGTTTCTAGGAAGGAGAAAAGGAGTCGTAGCGAAACTCCAGAGTACAAGGACAAGATCGCTTCGGCGAATTTTGTCGCTTCGTGCTCGGGTCCGCCACTGTCTGCTCCCGATGCCTTGTTGGAGGCTCAAAACTACCGTGAAACCACTGCTGGATTCCTGAAGGTATCATCGATCTGTTCCTGACGTATTTTACTATCGTTTCCATATTTGCTTGCTAATGATTCTCGTTCTATTTCAGGCCTTCCATTCGATGAATTCCATGGTTCGGGCCTATGATTTTGGAGCTCGGAAGTCCGAGCTGGCCCGTGAGAGATCGGAGACATCCCGAGCTGAGGTCGAAGCTAGGTTGTCCGAGGCGATCGCGGCTAAACAAGAAGCTGAGGTGTTGGCCAAGGCCGAGAAGGTGGAGCGATTGAAAGCTTCTGAGGATAGCCTGCGGACTCAGAGAAAGCTTGAGGTCGAGGTTGCGCGACTCCATCGGTTATTTACTGAAGAGAAGGCTCTCCGGGAGAAGGAGATTGTCAGAGAACGGAGAGCAGCCAAAAGGGAGTTTGCCGAGAAGGTCAAGGCTATCGAGGCGAAGATGGACCAGTTCGGGAAGGTATCCACGCGCTACATGTACTTGGTGCAAGCGCGGGCCAATGCCGAGCTGATAGCTGAGCTGGAGGAAGGGATAAAGGTAGAAGATGAGAAGGCCGAGGTCCTTCAATGGACGGCTGAGTATGGGGACGCCGAGGATGAGTACGTCCGTCTCGGAACCGAGCTGCGAGAGGACTTGAAGCTTCCTCCAGTTTCCCCGGACTCTGTCGACGATAGCTTCGGGAACCGTTCGATCGAGGGTGCCGCGGCTGCGATAAGTGTTGCCGACCAGTCGGGTTCGAACCGAGGTACCGAGGTAGCTCAAGTTTCGCCGGTTAACCAAGACTCGATCTGATCCCGAGATGTATTTTTATTCTCTCTTTTGCCCTTTTTGTAAGACATGCCTGGACGGCTTTATCCATTGAATGCTATGTTAAGTAATTTTTATCTTAAAACTTTTCCGAACTGAATCCAATACTAACGTCAAATAGCTTGATTTATCTTCCGAGCCAAAAGCGAAAAGAATCGTGCACCAGTGTTAAGTTAACCGGGTTTATGATTTGCTCGTTGAGAAGTTAAATCCAAACGTTTTTTAACTTTCGAGCCGAAAGCGTAGTGAATCGTGCACCAGTGTTAGGATAACTGGGTTTTGGCTACGTGGGACTAATCTTTATCGGTCGCGACCCGAACTGATATAGTCGAAGCCAGTGCTTACAAGCGAACTGGGGTACCAGTGTCGAAGTCAACTGGGTTTTCTGAAGACAATTTCTTTATGGCAAGGTATCTCCGACCGAATCGTCTCGAATGCTTATATAGCGCGCTGTAACCGAGGCGGTGTAATGAGCTCTCTGTTCGTGGACGTGGCCATCGTCCGAACGAACTGTTGGCTTTGTGGGTCGATAAGGAGACCATAAAGGTTCCTGAGATGAGTTTTGGGATAGATGTCGAGGTGGATAAATTTGAAAATCCGAAGGGTAAAAACTTAGAGAATTTGAAAAATTTAGTGGGAGTATATGTATACGGACCCACTTCCCCCTTTTTTAATTAGGGGGGTAGTTGAACTCGTCCGAAGACGAGCTGCCTACGTACCTTTTTCAGGGATCAAGCCACCCCGTAGTTCGAATACATGCGTACCTTAGGTTTTTAGCGGTAATATTTCCTTAGATGCATTGCGTTCCAGGATCTAGGTACCGCTTTGCCGTTCATATTGATGAGTTCGTAGACGCCGGGACGGATTACCTTTGCGATCGTGTAAGGTCCCTCCCAATTCGTGCCGAGCTTACCTGCGTTCTGCTCGGCGGTATTCTGGAAAACTTTGCGCAGTACGAGCTCTCCTTCGTGGAAGCGGCGATGCTTCACGTGAGAATTGTAGTACCGAGCCGTTGTATTCTGATAGTTCTGCATACGGATCAAAGCCGAATCTCTTCTTTCGTCAATTAAGTCCAGCTCGTCCAACATCATCTGAGTGTTGGAATTTTCCTGCTCGGGGAGAAAACGTCTTCTCAGTCCCGGGATCTCGGCTTCGGTGGGAATCACACACTCCGTGCCGTAGACAAGGGCGAAAGGTGTTTCTCCCGCGGCCCGCCGCGGCGTGGTTCTGTGCGACCATAGTACTCCTCTAATTCATCGGCCCAGCAGCCTTTCTTCGCGTCGAGGCGCTTTTTTATTCCGTCGAGAATTGTCTTGTTTGCCGCTTCGGCTTGTCCGTTCCTTTGAGGATACCGAGGCGTAGACTTGTTGAGGCGAATTCCCTATTTATCGCAGAATTCTTCGAACCGAGCCGAAATAAACTGCGATCCGTTGTCTGTAACGATCTCGTAAGGTATCCCGTGGCGGCATATGATGTTCTTCCAGACAAAGTTCTCCACCTGCGCGTCTTTGATGCTGGCGTAGGAGTCCGCCTCGATCCATTTGGAGAAGTAGTCTGTCAGTACGAGGACGAGTTTCTTCTGCTTGGAGTCGTGTAGAGGTCCGATGATGTCCATGGACCATCGCATGAATGGATAAGGCGAAGTGATGGAAGAGAGGAGCTCGGCGGGTTGATGAATGGTTGGCGCGTGTCTCTGGCATTTATCACACCGTTGAGAAAACTTCTCGTAGTCTTTGACCATTGTGGGCCAAAAATATCCGTGGCGTTTGATCTTTATAGCCAAGGTTCTCCCGCCAGAATGGTTCCCACAAGATCTGCCGTGTACTTCTTCCATGACTCTCCGAGCCTCATTTCCTTCGACACAGATAAGGAGGGGACCGGAAAATCGCCATTTAAAGAGTTCTCCGTCGATCAGAGTATACCGAGCCGCTTTGGCTTTAAGCTTCCGAGCTGCCCATTTTTCAGTAGGAACTTCTCCATCGGCTATGTAGCTTCGGATGGCTCCTATCCATTTGGCGTCGCTTCCGTATTCGGGCTCAGTTGCGTCCGTAGTTTGCTGGTTTAGTAGTTCGATGTCCATTTCTTCCGGTTCTTCTGTCTCCCGAGCTGTTAGAACTTGATCCTTGCTATTTTCTTCAATGCTCGGCTTTTCGATGAACTCGACCTGTATGATTCTCTTTAGATTCAGAAGGCATTAGAAAGACTACCGAGGCATTCCGGGCCCTGTTATCCCTAGAGTAACTTTTATCCGTTGAGCGACGGCCCTTCCACTCGGTACCGTCGGGAAAAGGGGGGGAAAGCTCTCCGTTCCTGGTTCTCCTGTAGCTGGATCGGGTCGGAGGTTGAAGCTAGAGCTGCTAAGGCATCGGCCGATGTGTTTTCACCTCGTGGGATTCTGGTTAATTTGAATTCGCCGAACTGTTTCGCCAAGTCTTGCGTGAGAGCAAGATACGCTTCCATTCGTTCGTCGCGAGCCGCATATTCTCCATTGAATTGATTAGCCACGAGCTGGGAGTCGCAAAAGGCTCGCAGCTTGTTGATCTTAAGTCCCCGAGCCAGCTTAAGTCCTGCTATCAGCGCTTCGTACTCAGCCACGTTGTTAGTCGCGTCGAAATTCAGCCGAAAGGATTGTTCAAGGATTTCACCCTCTGGTGATGCTAGGCGGATTCCGACGCCAGAACCTTGTTTCGAGGATGAGCCGTCGACGTGGAGGGTCCAAACAGCGTTGGGTGACTCTTCTCGGGCGCTTTCTGTTGGCAGCTCGATGATAAAATCGGCCAGGACTTGAGATTTCGCACATGTTTTGTTCCTGTATTCGATGTCGTACTCGCTGAGTTCTACTGCCCATTTGGCCAGGCGTCCCGATTGGCTCGGACTGTGTAGGATGGTTCGGAGTGGTACGGGCGCCATGACGACAATTGAGTGAGACTGGAAATATGGCCGTAGCTTCCGAGCTGACATTACTACGGCGAGGGCGAGCTTTTCAGTTTGCGGGTAGCGTGTCTCTGCGTCGGTGAAGGTTTGCGAGACATAAAATATCGGCTTCTGCTCTCCTCTGTCTTCCCTGACTATGACTCCACTTATCGCCGTATCAGAGACTGCGATGTACAGAAATTATGGCTCGCCTGGGACTGGTTTCGCCAACACCGGTGGATTAGCCAAGTACTTCTTCAGTTCCTGGAAAGCTTCTTCGTAGCGATCGGTCCATTCGAATTTCTTGTTTCCGCGCAGAGTATCGTAGAAAGCCAGGCATTTGTCAGTGGACCGCGAGATGAATCGGTTCAAGGCCGCGACTCTCCCGGTAAGACGTTGGACTTCGCACTTGTTCTGTGGTGAGGGCATGTTCAGTAGAGCATCGATTTGCTTCGGGTTTGCCTCGATGCCTCGGTGAGTTACGAGATATCCCAAGAATTCTCCCGACTTTACCGCGAAACGACATTTTGCCGGGTTGAGCTTCATGTTGTGCTTGTTGAGCTGACGAAAACAGTCGCGTAGATGGGCTATGTGATCGCTCTCTTCAAGGGACTTGACTAACATGTCGTCGATGTAAACTTCCATCGTCTTCCCGAGCTGCTCGGAGAACATCCTGTTGACGAGTCGTTGATACGTTGCACCAGCATTCTTGAGTCCGAAGGGCATGACATTGTAACAGTAGATACCTCGGTCTGTGATGAAAGCTGTCTTCTCGCGATCGTCGGGATGCATGAGAATCTGATTGTATCCTGCGAAAGCATCCATGAACGATAGCAAATTATTTCCCACGGTTGCTTCCACTAAGCGATCGATATGTGGGAGTGGAAAACTGTCTTTAGGGCAAGCTTTGTTCAAATCGGTGAAATCGACGCAGACTCTCCACTTGCCGTTCTTCTTTTTAACCAGGATAGGATTTGCTAACCAGTCCGGGTATCTTGCTTCGGAGATCGAGCCGATCTTTAAGAGCTTTTCTACTTCGGCGTTCACGGCATCTGCGCGATCCCGACCCAATTTTCTTCGCTTCTGCCTGATGGGTTTGAAAGATGGGTCAACATTCAGCTCGTGGCAGATTACGTCGATGCTTACCCCAGGTAGATCTTCAACCGACCAGGCGAAGGTGTTGATGTTCTCTTTGAGGAATGAGATGAGCTCGGTCTTGATTTCCTCGGTTAAATCGCTGCCAATTTCCACGCATCGTTCAGGCCGTTCGTCGTCGAGGCTAATGGAGATTACAGGATCCGAGGTAGGCTTCTTCTCCTCGCGCGCCTCCTCGATCTGTAATTGCTATAACTGTTTAGATATAGCCTTCTCTTCACTCCGGCCAAGTTTTGATTTCTTGCGATCTGTTTCTGCCTTCGCTTCAGTGACAGGGTTTCGGAGTTTGTGTGCTGCCATGAAACACATCCGAGAATTTTTCTGACTGCCCCAGATCGTTTTCACGCCATTAGGGGTCGGGAATTTGACACACAGATGATATGTTGATGCGACAGCTCGCATTAGATTTAACCACGGAGTTCCCATTATGGCGTTGTAGATGGTAGGTCGATCGGTGACTGAGAAGTTGACTATCTTTGTTACCCCGCCGGCTCGGACTGGTAGTTGGATGGTTCCAAGCGTCATCAACGTTTCCCCTGAAAATCCGAGGACAGGCCTCGGGGTCGGAATCACCTGTGACATGTCGATGTTCATTTTTCGGAGCGTTTCGCGAAAGATTACGTTGATAGTGCTGCCGGTGTCAATTAATACTCGGTAGATATCATGGTCTCCTATCGCTAATGTGACGACGATTGGATCGTTATGAGGCATGTCGAGCCCGTTCGTCTCGCTTTCTTCAAATGTGATCACGTCGTTAGGTCGATCGAAGTGTCTTGTCCAGTTGCTAGGCGTCTCGGCTCGGCGTTGATAAGCTTTGATTGCCGCTACGGTGTCAGGACAGTATGGCGATCCACCCATTATGGTGAGAACCCTCTGCCGCGTACCATCTCGGTCTTCGTCTTCCGACCCCCGGGTTC